TTATTTTCTTTTTAATATGGGGAATTTGTATCCGAAAAATATCCGGTATTCGATTTGATAATTGCCTTACCACATATCCGGTATCCGATAATTTTATGATCCGGTGCATCAGTATATTTTATTGTAGAAATTGAGTACAATATAAAGTGTATTTTATTTTTTATATTATATTTAATCATTTGCTCTAATTTTGTATTATTTTTTGTACTCAATTTCTGTAACAAACACATATAAAGTGATCTAAAAAGTAACTTACAAGTAATTTATAAAATAACTTTTCAACCCTGCTAATAGGTATGTACCTACTTACGCGAGAAAATTAGCGGCACTTACGTATACGACGACAGACAAAGATGATTCGTAAAACACTAATCGTATACTTTCAGAATTTCTGGTTTTGAAGTTTCAGGCAATTGGAATCGCGAGACGATTTGTTAATATTATTTTGAGAGAAATATTGTGAAAGATATAGAGAATAATTCTTGTAACTAAATTTGAATGTGACAATTTACATTGCAATTGATATCTCACCGCGCTATTTTTACATATATGAATACGTGGATCTTTCGATGGTCACGAGTCCTTTAGCATAGATGAATATCAGTCCTTTTTTTATATTCCAATGACGCATTCATCATTGACAGTTGCATTTTATTGAACAAGAAGAAACTTTATTATGACTTCATCTACTTTTAATAGCAGTTATCTTTTTTGTATCTTTTTGTATTTTTATCCATTTTTAAATATGCCATGTATGAATAAAAAACATATTTTTTTTAGATCAAATGCATTTCCAGAAGTACCAGATCACATTTTATTAATCATGATTGAACCAATAACAGTTATGCCAGTCAAAGGATTATTTATAAAAAAAAATCACATATAGTACTGTGTAAAGTTTTTATTTTAAATGGGTGTGTGTATATGTGCGTGAGAAAATTTCTTACTTTAAATATACTATAGAATACAATACAGAAATACTCTCACAAATATCGTTAGAGCTTTTAAAAAAAAATTATTACGAAGTTCTATTTTGATATTAATTAAAAATAAGCGGAAAATGATTCATGGACATTTTCTTCTAATATATCCTAAAATTAGAAATTAAAATTATATCTAATTTTGGGTTATATTGGGACTGAGTTAAAATCATTTTTGCTAGAGAATTTTAGAAATAAATAATAATAATAGTTATAATAATTATTAAAGGACTTCTTCTATATGTATAATGCTAGAAGCTCTTTGTGATTTTTTTTTGGGTGAATGCGGTTTCATTTCTCGACCAGAAAAAGTCAGATATATCTATTTAAAAAAGTCAAATATATCTAACTATTAAAATTATACATGAATCATACCATACATATTTGTCCAAAAAATGCTTTCATAAGATAGAGATATATTGGCAATATATATATAGATACATAAAAATTTCCAAACAAAGAATATCTATATGTGTACATATACATGAATAATTTTATGAAGAAGGAAATATAATGTATTCATTTTTTAAAGTATAATAGAAAATATAAAAATACTCAACATACATTGTACGTTTTCAAAAAATACGACTAACACATAAAAATAAAGTCAAGTTATAGGATTTGATTGCTATCTTTTTTTATAGAATGAATCTTTTAACAAATCTGTTTTATACTGTTTCATTTTGACATTTTTTAAAATTTATATATATCATGATACTTTGTGTGATACTGCTCGTATTGATCGTTCTTTATTATTACACATTTAGAATGGCAATTTATGGGGCAATTTAAGCGAGTTTCAACCATAATTTTTAGCTTGAACCTGATAAAGTGTGCGCTATTTTTTTCCATAATAACAGGATTATTGAGTTTCTATCCTAAGCGAGTCCATCTTTTTTACTAAATCGAGACGACCTTTTGCGATTTTAGGAATACGTATGACTTCAAGTTTATAAAGTCTTCCCGAGAAGACCAGATCTTTCACAAAAGTGTGTGTGCGTGCGTGCGTGCGCGCGCGCGCTCGACTCATCCGCAAAATTTGGATGTATGCTACATATTCAAGTGGGGGAACGAACAAGGGGAACCGGGGATAGAGGGGGCTAAATAAGATATTACCAGAAAGTCCCCGAATGTTCGGATGGATATATAAAGCGGAAGATGTGCAAAAGATGTTAAGTCAGTGCATGACAAGCTTCCGAGTGACAGCTGGAAAATATCTTTCTTCCAATATGAATCTATTGGTGAGTTTGAGTTTTTGTGAGAATAAAATACGTTGCGTAACACAGTGGTACGATTATTTATAGACGTAATTTCAAATTTGGAATATTTTTCTAATTTGAGTGTTTTTGAAAATCACTAAAACGTTTATTTCGGTTAATCAGTGCAATTATCAGTGTATTCTTTTAATTTAAATTTGCAATCGAGGATCTTTGTTATATTAAACTATTTAATTTTTATTACTCACAAGCAATATAGTTTAAATTTTTCAATTAAGTAGTAAATAAGCATAAGCGTTTATAATAAATGTTACAGCATTATAATTAATATAATAAATTTAGCCTATAATATCTATTTATTTTCTATATTTTTACTTTATAAAATGTTCGTTTCTCTTCTAAGATAAAATGGTATTAAAATTGTGTATACTAATTGTGATGTCAATTTTATTGATAGATTTTACGGATATTATAAACTATAATATTTAGATAGAGATAAGTACTTTTTATACTAAATCGTGCACTATTTAAAATAAAAGTAGATAAAAGATAAAAGTATCATTAAAGATAAAAGACAAAAGTATTGGGGTAATATTTTTGCTCTTTCAATACTCTTTTTAGATAAAATCTTTATTCTAACGCAAAAATGAAGTTGAAATGTATAATACATCCTTATGGAAGAGTATTATAATCGGATTAATGAAAATATTATTAGAACGAATAGTGTACAATATTCGATTTGAATGATTTTCTAATTATTTCCAATTATTTTTTTTTTTTAATCCAATAATATTCTTCCATAACGGCAGACTCAAAGGATTGCATGATTCTTTGTCCTTTTAGGTAATCGCTTTGTGTGCCCTCGTGGCAGTGGCAATCGCCGCCCCCGTTGACAACACCAGCCCAATCCCTATTGTCAAGCAAGCCTTGGACGGGCCGAACCCCGATGGATCTTACAATTACAACTACGAGACTGGTAACGGTATTCATGTCCAGGAGGAGGGTCATCTTAACAATGTTGGTACCGACAACGAGGCCCTGGAGGCACACGGCAGCTTTAGCTTTACTGACGCCGATGGTCAAACCTACCAAATCTCGTACGTAGCCAATGAGAATGGGTTCCAACCAGAAGGTGCTCACTTGCCGACCGTGCCCCCGGTGCCACCTCAAATTCTAAAAGCTCTTCAGTACATCGCCGAACACCCCGAGGAGAACCAGGAGAAGCATTAAAGGACTCCGAAAAAGGCCCTATGACGGAAGAAGGATAAAATCAAAGGCTAATTTCGAGGAGACGAGATGATCAGAAGAAATCTGGTGTGAAACCGAATCGTGATTGTAACGAGGATTGACAGGTATTCGATCCCGATATAGACTGTCAACAGACTCGGCTCTTCGCGTCGTGATTATTTTTGTATTTATATGCGTATGTATAATTAAAACAAATTTTTTTTGTACAAAATTTGTATATGAACATAATCCTGATGATATGCTGTAAATAAATTTCGTCACTGTGCAAGTCTTGTTGGTATTTATCGGAGGAGAGATGAACGGTGCTCGGTTCATTAATCACATTAACGATACTTTTAACAATCACATTAACAATATTTTTAAGAATATTTTTAACAAGAGGAGCGTTAGTAAAACGCTGGGACGTTTACAAAGTTATGAAAAGTGAAGAGCAGTGCGGAAATTTCTTTATGCAGGTGCATTGTAATTCTTTTCAAGAACTTCTTTTATGATCCATTGCTTTATGGGGATACAACGCAAAACAACAGTCTCTCGTTAATGAATAGTGATAATAATTAACGTCTCTATCATGAATATTAATTACATCCTTTGACATTTAAAGTTTCGCGTTACGTCAAAATAAAAATTTTAAGTACAATACCATAGATAAGATGCCAATAAGTTAATTTACACGATGCAAGTCGTTTCATTATTTAAATGATCAAGGACAAAATTTACATAACTGAATTATGATAATGCGTGTATAAAAAATAAATGAATGCAATCCATTTATTATTTTCGTTGAATAACTTAGGAATAATGTATATGGTTGCAGACTAAAAAAACTTCGCTATTTTATATATAGATTCGAGCCCCTCAGAGATGAGTAATACGCCAGATTATAGAGCATAAAGTGTAAATTAAAACTGCATAAGTACCAACTGCTACAACAAAGTTGGAAATCAGTGTTACAACCTTATCTCTTGATGTAACATATGAGATACATTATTTTACTATTTATACTTGCAGAATGCTTTCAATCAACTGATGGTTTTTATTATATAATTAAAAATACTTCTAGATCCTTTTTTCTATCCATATCCCTTTATCCTACAAGATTTATTTTTGTATCTAGAGTACATCCTCGTGGCGGTTGCGATAAGAAACTACAGATCTTTCGATGCTGGGATATAATCTAGACATACAAATAAAACACGATATCACGTTTATATTGTAAGAGTAACGGTGAAAGAAAAGACACTGTCAGAGAATAGTACTGCACACGTAAATATGCCCGTATTGTAAATTGCTGTCCTCACATCATTCATTTGATATCTAGAATATGCCAAATATTTTGTTGAAGACATATGAATATCTTCCAAAAATGTTATTCATATATATTCGTTAGTCTTGACAACTTTGATGAATAACCGGGCAATTAAATCTTTAAAATTTTAAATATCAAAATTGCTTTCGGGTTTGAGGATCTAAAATTATTTAATTTTTAATACTTCTATTATTATTATTATCTACAAACTGAAATATAATTCGCAAGAAGTCCAAAATGGGTGAAGTTCTTTGTTCATCGAAACTTAATACTTTCAGAAGAGGCAGGTACGTGTAAAAAAATGAAGCGCATTTATCGAGTAATCTCAGTGTATACTCACTTATTTATGCCATTTTGTTTACACACGCTTGAATGTTACATCTCGGATGTAGATCATTCACTTCAGTTTTAGATGACAACGGCAAAAGCAAATGTGCTTATATGGTATGTATAACAAAAAGAAGAGATTCGTCTCTATATATTAAAACGTTTTACCATCTGATTATGAGATCATGCGCAAACTATGAGAAAGCGTACGAGAATCACTATTATTGATAGAACCGCCCCTCGACTAACATGGGAATGCAGGAAGGATAAACTCTTGTATGTGCCAAAATCTATCTCCACTAACAACATAAGCCTTGAAAATTTCTATAAAAGTACAAATTTTTATTAAAAGCGTGTTATCTATGTGAAGCGACAGGAAGGACAGGCAATTTTGGACGAACTTAACGGTACTTTGTGTGACGCATTCAGTTTCGTTTATTTGACGATAATCGAAATTGGCGAATGTCGCTGCGGGGGACCGCGTTCTGCGTCGGATTGTTCTTCTCGATCGGTTCCGGGGTCGTGGGCTGCTTAGCGATCCACTCAAGGGCACGCTGAATCGCCGGCGGGATCGGTGGCGGGGTGGGGATGTGGGTGCCGGACACCTGGGTGCCGAACTCGTCGGCGGTCCAGCTCATGGCGATGGGGGTACCGTCCGGCGCGTTGTACTGCACGGAGCCCTGAATGAGTTGCGTCTCGTCGGAAGTGCCGGCATACTTGCGGCTGCCACTCTCTCGTTGATGTATGCCGCCCTCAGTCTCGTAAGAGAATGAATAATGACCGCGGGTGTCACCGAGATCATGCGAGTAGCTCACGATCTTTTTCGGTTCCTGGAAGTATTGGCCTTGAACGAGCCCGAAAAGGGCCGCTACCAACTGAAACAAAGAAACGGATTATTATCTGTTCTTGTTATACTAATACTTTTGAGAGACTGTTTACAATAGTTTACATTAACTCTTATTTCATTAATTCCATTATTTTCCTTTTCTACACACGATGCTTCGTTCGTATCTGGACTAATTTTCGTCACTTTTACAAAAATTATATATATATATTAAGTGATTTTTATATATACTTTAACGTCTTTAGAAAATATTTATAAGGTTGGGTATTAAAAAAAAGAAAGGAATAATCAGTGAAAGCTAGTGTTATGAATATAATACTAATTCTTAAATTTTAAATTAAGAATTCGATTTTAAATTAAAAATTACGAAACGTTCGGACATTAATATCTCAGATCGATTGTGGTTAATGTCCAAACGTTTCGGCGCACAGTCACATCTGAGATAATTAAATTTAAAATTTAAGAATTTGTATTATATTCATAACATCTAACTTTGACCGATTATTGGCGTTTTTTATATTTATGTATAGCATTTAAGCGGTCATACTTATTCTTTAAAGGAATAATCATTATTTAGTCAGGTGCTCTTAGTATTTCAAAGGAAAGAAATACAATATCCCCCAATCGTATGCTACAGTTAAGTAATTATTTATTAAAAGTAATTATTTACCCAATTTTATTTACCCAAAATTATCCAGTAAAAATATATTTTAATTTAGCCCTAATATAACCCAAAATTAAAGATAATTTAATTTCTATTTTTGAGATGGTAAGTGTATTTTTGCGAATTTTAAAATTGCAACATCAATTACTTTTGTTAAAATTTATGATGTCTGAAGACTAGCTCGTAAAATAAGAGATTAATTTGCATATTATGCATTCAATGGCTTTTTGCGGTTTTTTGCACGGTAAATTTATTTCTTAAATCATTTATTGTAAAAGTAGAATAAATTTATTTTCAAAAATTTTTTTTAACTTGTGTATCAGTTTATATCCGCCTCATTCTGTAAAATTCACGATATTTCAAAAATAAGATTCGCACAATTCAAAAACTATGAAGCTTGTCCGCGAAAATGATGATTCGAGTTGATTAATGATTCCTCGAAAGTTATAAGTATTATTGCTAAGTTAATTACATCATCCTTGTAAATGAATAACGGATATAGCGTTGTTTTCAGAATGAAGCGATACCGGGCGTCCTTCTCGGCAAAGGACTCGTCACTGTCGAGTGATAAACACACTGACTTTCCGTGACGAGCATTTATGATCACATTAAATTCACTTTTATATTATAGACTTTTCTTGAAAATATAAAGGCTGCATAAAATAATTGATGAAAATGGCTTGCGTTATTTTGCAAACATTTTAATGAGCAAATTCGTGCATTAATCGAAATGATTTCATTTGAGCTAAACAGCGCGATCAAGAAAGATCGGGAAAGATGCTGTGTCCATCTCGAGGAGATATTTGTGGTGTTGGTGTACCGCGGGAGTGTGGAGTATCAATGCGCGTCTACACATAAGGTGCTTTAATCCTCGTCATGTTTGTAAAGCCATCGAAGATACCTTTCCCCGCGAAAGGTCAGGACAAGATGAATGTATTGGTAGGTAGGTCACGATTGCGATCGGTAAGGGGAACAAGAGGGTACCTTGTGTGCTAATGATGTCGTATTACGTTACCCACGATCAAACGTGGCTTTTTCCCATAGTCGCAGTCTTCGATTAACATCCGGTGACCGAGACCGATTCGTTTAGTGCCGGTTTAGACATTTAGACGATGCGTTCCCGTCATATAACTACCATTCACTGTGCAACGTGAACAATCGCGTTCAATGTAAATGAATACATTCCTTTGATACTCATAATCCTATAATATTAATATTATTAATAATATATTAATTATTATCAATATTAATAATGTTATAAATTAATAATTATAATTTAAATTTAATTAAAAATCATCAATGACAATAAGATATTACCTTAAAGTCTTTGTTATGTAAACATTTTTTAAATATTAAAAAAATTTCTTAGATCATATTTTAATATTTTGCACTTTTGACATTCTATCGCAACTTTCATTTATTCAAGACCCTTTTTTATACATTGATATAATCAATTCATATAGAAAATTGACAAGATTTATAATGACGCATCATATATCAACAATAATATCGCACGCAGATATCGAACAGATGTCTCGGATTAGTTAGCCAACTTGTGCTTTCTACAGAGAAAGTGGATAATTAGAAAATACGTAAGTATATGCAAATTAACGGCTCATTCGTCATGGTCTGCGTTAGTCATCATCGATGCAAGACGCGCGCGACAATATCGCCATGTGAGCTTTACAGATTTAATGAGTTATGTAATTTAAATAGATTATGCAACATCGTAATGGATGTTTCGCGCTGTGTAACTTTCGTATGATGATGAATAACCCTACCATACGCACGTAACGTTAAATCACGCATGGCTGTTCATAAATATGTACGGGCGATCAACTTCGACTTCGATTTAGAGAATTCAATGATTGGACGTGTTTATTATTATGGAAATTAAATGCATGGAGTGTGACTAATGCGAAAATATATGTATGTGAAAATTGAATGTGTTCTCCATTTTTTCTGCGAAAGACTGTCGCAAGGAGAAATTATTGCGCGCATTTTTATCCATGCGTTTTTTTAATCGGAAAATTTATCGTAGCTGTACGGTAAAATAACAAAAATAGACCGACATAAATAAACGACTTTTAAACAATAAATAAAATGCATTGTTTAATAGTACCAATTTGAAACGTATAGATTAGTGATGGCAAAATGAATACGAGGTAATCCATGTCAAAGTTTAATGTAACGATTAATGTTATATATATATATATATATAAACACGAAGGATTAAATATGGAATATTGTATGTATATATATATTCTAAATCTATATGTAATTTATGTGTATTTTCCCGTGACCTAGATATGTAAAATCTCGTAAAATTACAAAAATGCAATGGCACATCATACTTTATCTGTGTTACACATAAAAGCTTTTCCTTCTAAACAGAGTCCCAGTAAAATTACAACTTACATTCATACATATATTACGTTAGTTTCATGCATTCGTTAGGCAAAAACATTATTATATCTTTCTTTCGGTTTCGTTCATGGTTACGACCACAAACTATATCATTCATATTTGGCAGAGAGAAGAAACAAATATTAACTTTTCTCTTTATTTTTTAATATTGACTTTTTTTTAAATATTGAATACTTTTTATTGATTTTTCTGTTTATTTTTTGCCTTTTTCATATATATTTTTATTATACGCTATGTTTATTGCAAATTGAATAAACTGCATTATGGTAAAATCCAAAATTTAGTTGTTGGAAACGAATTACGCGAGATTTGTCGCGTTTTAACCTAAATTATAATTATTAACATATAATATTATTAATATTAATAATAATTATTGTATTATTAATATTATTAATATTAATATTATGAGATTATCACATCAAGGGATAGTCAGAATCTGTTTCATGCAAGATCCCAGAAAGCCTTCAAAGAGGAGCAGACTTACCAGGATACGCATGCTGTCTGCTCGACGATGATCGCGCGTTTATACGATTGCAGTACGCGTGGTCGCAAAAAAAGAACGAGAAGCGTTCTGAGCCTTCACTCAATGAGTGTAGCGCGTTTAGGCGGAATATGACAAAAGAAGATAATCGAGCACCACGAGCAAGCGGTCACATGTAGAGCTCGCCTCTCCTGATGGTTGCCGGCGTGAAGTTCGCGAGCAACTCTTGGACCGTTGGGGGCAGAGCCGACCTTTATACTGGCGCAGTCCACGATGCGGAGACGCCAGCTTTTACATAACCCGGGAAAGTTTATTTCGGCTCGACCGTCCGCGTTGCTCCCTCTAAGAATTCATAGAATCGAGAGCACACCGTACGACTGTGACACCCTCTCGGATGCACGGATGTCACCGCCGTGGCACGGCGTGTGGTCACCCACCTGCGCACACCTGCGGGAGACCTGCGGAGGGACCACCCGCGGGCACCAGCGCGGCATGACGCGAGTCTGTCTATATATACGCGCGCAATTACGCTCCGACCTGGAGATTTTCCTCCTTGGCCGCAACGACAGTTCGGTGATGCGACGGTCCATACGGCTTGCAGTTTTCGCCCTTACGTAATGATACATGAGGCGACCGCCTTGCGCAACCTACGGACTCGAACTCGAGAACTCAGCGACTTCTCCTTTTCGATTGCCGCCAGCGGCTCGATACAATCTCGCGGAACCATCGCTTGAAGGAGACAGAAAAAAAGGGGTAAAAAAAGAATGAACGAACGAAGTCGAGAGAAAAAGAGAGAGAAAAATAAGATGTTTATTACTGTTCTAGATACTCTATATATGTTCTAGAGCAAGCTTTCCAAAAACAATACAGAGGTAATTGAGAGAAAATGTACAAAGAAAAATAATATAGAATATATAAGGAAAATAATAATATAAATAAAGTAATAAAGAAAATAAACAAAAATAAAATAAAAAAACGACAATAAAAGATATGAGATAGAAACAGAAAAAAAAATAAAGAGCGTAATCAAAGAAACAAGACACCGAAAGAGGAAATGATTGATTGATTGATTGAACTTTTATTCTAGTTGTAGGGTAAACCCTTTAAGAACTGTAGGTACAAATTAATTTAGTGACTACGTGGAATTACAATGCAGTTTGAACACAGTAGTAAAAGTGAATGCCGAACTAGCTAATCATAAAAAAATAATATAACAAAATTTTAATGGTAACAAAATAAAAGTAAAATAAAATGAAGATAAAATATAATCAAAAATAAAATAAAATAGAAATAATACAAAGAATAAAGGAAATAATAAACAATAATAATAAAGGTAATGAATTAATACAAAGAATAGTAAAAATAATAAATAAAAAGAAAAATAAGAAAGAGAAAGAGAGGGGGAGGCAGAGAGAGAGAGAGAGAGAGAGAGAGAAAGAGAGAGAAATTAATCGATTATCTTCTCAGAGAAATGATCTGGTCCAATTTTGCGACGTCCAATATTATACGCTTCTCGCGCAACATTTCGATACAGAAGATGCAAGCCGGTACATTTGCGAGTTGAGTATTAGATAATGCAAATGCGCGTAAACGTTTTGTTTGTTCCTGATAAGAGAAGATTAATTAATGTCTGTCAGATAAAGCCAAATGCACAATTGAAAAGTACAGGCAATAGGAATAACAGATTTCAATCTATCAGTGTACACCAGAATAAGTTGAAATTTGTTATTCTTTCTTGCCTTTATTTTTTAATTATGCATTAAACTTAACTGACATATGTACCGATGCTGTGATGATTGTACAGATCAGTGAATGATTTAACGAAGGATTCCTTAACTGTTTTATTTATTAAATTTGAGACAGCCATATATACTCTCTAAATTATTTCAAGTACATGGAATCTCTTAAAGAGTGAAAATTGAACCAACTTTAAAAAAGAATGGTTCAATTTTCAATCTTTAAAAGTGAGATTTTATTCTTCAGATTGACAATTCACTTTAAATATTTTAGAAACTAGAATTGTGACAGGTCGAAGAACCATTCGTATCGTTTTTTGCTATGTCTATAGATTTCGCGGAAAAGATCTCCATGAAGCAATTGGAAAACATAGCACGTTGAAACACGAAAAAAAGTGTTTTTTTTATGTTATATGACGTAAGTATTGTGTTGCGCCTCACAGAAATGTTGAGACAATCTTTATTATCACATAAATGAGATGTAAAATCGGTCTTGGAATAGAAATCTCTATTTTTCGATAAATCGCGGCGTCAGAGAGATGGGAGCGTTCACGAGCCTAGACAATGACTACAGGAATTATTCGACAGGAAATTACAGAAATATTCCACGTGGGCTTTAATGTCAGATGCAAACGAACGCGAGCGGTGTTCCATCGTAAAAGACACTGGACTTTTTGTGTGCTGCAATCCAAAAATTTGAACTGGTCTTCAGATTTTTAATGTATACAAATTGAGTAAAGCGAATACCGCAATTTCATTTTTCACTCCACCGTTTAAAATTTCTTAACCCTTCCATGCCATATTGAGAATGACACACTTAAGTATAGCATATCCAACTAATTTGATTGCTTGTAACTTTTATTATAAAACTGAACATATTGAAAAAAATTTTTTTATTAAAATGTTAAACGTTAAAGAATATAGCAGTATCGAGTAAATATATGTATGTTAATTAATAAAAAAGCTATACCCATAAACAAAAAAATATTAGAAAGTATTGGAAAGAAAAACCATTGCAGGTCTACCATATCCAAAGTGACATTGAAAGGTTTAAGAATTTCCAGCGACATTACAGCGAGAGTTTTGTTATGCAATGGACGATTATGTTGTCGTGATTGACAGACGCAAATTCAATCGCGGTAAATCACTGAAATTCCAATCGCGCAGTTCGTTTTCCGAGCGCGCGAATATTTTCTCTCTTCAGGTGCGAAGAAGGTAAAGGTTACGCTCAATTGTATCTATCACTTAACCTTAGGGTAATGACACCGGCGTCTCAAGCACCCGTTACCCGGTCTTCCGTGGGAATTGAATCCACAGACAACCGCCAGGCTGGTCCTTGGCCCAATGATCCCAGCAGCGTAAGGTAGCGTGTGCGGCTGCAAGTGTACATGTAGACAAGGGTATTATGCGATAATCAATGTTTATCGCGTAAAAGGAATTGCAGTGAAAGGAAATGAAACCTTCGTTAACTGGGGTGTGAGCCGAATGAGAAAACCACCTAAGACAGATCCGTCGGAATTTCGTTATTTTTTTTTAATACACGGCTTTGTAACTCATATAGATTTTTATGAGCTATCGGATAACTTTTGTTAGTCTTGTCAAACAATAAAAATTATTTGTACAAGATATTGTCTATTCTACAAATGCATTGTTGTTAATACACAGAGAGAATTTTTTCTTAGAGTTTACCCTGAAAATATGATAGTCGTGGCACAACATTGTATTTCGAAGAATTTTCATGTAAGTCTCTCTCATTCCTTAATGAAACTACAATAAAGTATAAAATAAGTTTGATCAATTTTACTGAAGTGCATGGTAAAAATCTTTAAAGTATTGTATTGTACCGCAACTATCATATTTTTAGGGTAAATTTTAAAAGAGAATTCTTTCCGTGTATATAATTATTATAAATAAATAATTGTCTTAGATTTACAAAATAAATAAATTGCATAGAAAATTTTATAATTGAATGTTTACTGTTAAATTCATATAGTGTCAAATTATATCCAATTTTAATTATTTTTAGTTATTTGTATAAGTCATCACTGCTCCTATCCAACATGTCGTCAATTTGACTAAAACAACAGCGTTAAACAATTTAATTAAAAAAATAATATATTAAATTATTAAAATTTAATTTATTATTTATACCAAATGCATAAAGTAATATAGATGATATCTATATATACTAAACAATTAAAATAATTAAAAACTAACCACAGAAATAGATTGATTTATATTTTGACACATATGAAAGTTAAAAATAACAAAATACTATTTACCATTACTTTTTTGATATTTAACAGTGTTGAAGCAAAAAAATCACTTTATCTTTAACTTTTTTTTCTCGAAAGTCTAAAGTATATTATAACTCTTTTATTTTAAAATTTTCTTTTATATCTTCTTTAAACATTATTTTGAAAAGATCCTATTTATAAGAACAAATCAGAGATAACGTACTATTGTTTAATAATATAAATAATAGATAAACTAATCTAATAGTTTAATAATTTTTACAAATTTTAAAAAAGTTTTTATTATTGCTTCTTGTAAAGATTATTAGAATAGAATTAAAATAACATTTTTTAATAAAATATTAAAAAGTAATTAAAATATAAACAATACAATTTCATGGCTTGTCGCCATGTCTGCGTATTGAGTAAAATAGAAGTTCACGCTCGCTTTGTGCAAACTTAAAGTCACCGCAGTAGATACGGTTGCTACTGAACAGGCGAAAGCTAGTGTTTCACTTGTTTATATATAAGATGAAACTAATAACATTATAAACTCTGATTATTATACTATACATATACATACATATATACTATATACATATATACAACAATAATTTATCGGTAAGTGTAAGCGAAGTATTTAATTTTTAATAATAATTTGAGAAAAATCCTATGTTTAGTAATCAAGTTCTCACATAGTCGTATTAGAAACATTCGTTGCCTAATCAGCATCTAAAAATTCTATGTATATATTATATTATATATATAAATAATAGAATCTCTTTCAACTATACTTTCTTCCAGATTTATAGACCGATAAACAGATATCAATGCTACTTTAACGATGGTAAACCGCGTCGAAACTTTAGACTTGAGAAAGCGACCTTGTGTCGAGAAGAAAATGCGAGGCTATCAACCGCCTACATTAAAAGTTGGTCAGTTATTGGTGTTAACAGTGATGCGATATCATTCTCAATCAAATATACAAAGTGCAAAATTCTAGATATTCTAGGTTTTTATCCTGTTTTATTTGTAACAGAAAACCGTAAAATAAAATCTCAACTTAATTATGCAAGAATAGAAAAGTAAAACTTTCTAATTAATTTACGAATGTCTTACAAGTACTTCTCTCTTAAGCAAAATGAAAAAAAGTTTTTTTAAATTAAAAATTTTTCTATGTTGTACTTCAAAGTAACACAAAAAATTTGAGCTGCGATTTAGAATCTGAATAAAAAATTATTTCAATAAGAAGT